AACTATTTTTTTCACTTTTTCAAGTGCAAGCGGTATTTTGAGGATTTCTCAGTCAAAAGCTGATCAAAAATGATTTTAAAGGGGATACTCTTAATCAGCTCGACGTCCTCTATTCAGCCATATATGATTGGATCAAATCAAAATTTTGCTCCTTTTTTGCATTTCTGGCACCTTACATAGTTTTTGTACTTATATATATACTAAAACTGTTTTTTTTCCCTTTTTCTTTTAATAAAGGCTAGAAGGTAGACTGTGTTCTTCAAACGTTTGCGAAGAGAAGTCAATTGAGAATCGAACACAAACGTTTAGCTGAGATATTTGCTGAATGAAAAGAAGAAGCAGATTCAATACAAGTTATAAAATATAACTTTTTTTTTTCAGGTTCTTTCTTTATAGATGTTCGAGAATTATTGCAGTTCCTAACGTAAAGAAGATCGATACCTCTTCTTCTCAATGATCATAAGCTTCCGGAAAATCCAACCTTCACACTGAAGCGATAGAGTGGCTACAAGTTCCGTATGGACAAGAAAACGAAAAAGAAGCGGTCTAAATTTGAAAAAACTTGAATAATATTTGTTTTCTCTCTCCATCAGGAACATTGTGACTCCACAATTGAGAATGAAGACGAGGAAAAGAAGGAATTCCGGAGACTCGTTGTTCGAGAAGAAAACATGACCTGGCTATCTTCTAAAACGAATGAGAACTTTTAACGTCATAACTATAAGCCAAAAATTTAATCTTCCCAATTCTTCTTTTCATTCTCATTATATTTTTATATGATGCAAGTTACGTTAAAACGTAACTGTTTCTGGATATCTATAAGTGTTCATCCAAAGAACAAGTTCCGGTCTCAATTTTCGAAGAAAATATTTTCTTAGTAAATTTTCTTTTGGTTTTGGATTAATTTCCAAATTTAATCCCAAATATCTTTGATAGAAATCAGCTGCTGTTTCATTTTCTTTTTGAACGCAACGGCTACGTTCAATTTTCAAAGCCTCTATCCTTTCAGGACTACGAAAACGAGACAAGAACAACTTTTTAAACTCGTGCCACGTATCCGGCAAATGATGACCTTGGGAAAGCTGTAAATACCAGTCAACAGCTGCACCTGTGAGCCAGTTACTAATATTTCGCAGTAACTGCGAATCACCAGCCCGAAACAACGTTCGCATTTTCTGTTGGTACTCATGCAAAAACTTATTAGGCTGCTCATTCGCTTTACCACTGAAACGAGTAAGTGAATCGTTAACAGTAACTTGCAAAGTTGCCGGTGAAGTGAGAACAGTTGATCGTGAAGAAGAAGAATTAGAAAATTTTCTTTCTGATTTTCTTTTTCTTCGGGATTCTGAAGTTATCTCTTTCCCACCGAAATACGAATCATCATCATCAGTACTACTTGAAAAAGAAGAAGCATTTTGTTTACGATGATGTTTCTTAGTTTTCAAAGCTTTACTTTTCTTGTGAACTTCTAAAAGTTCACTTTTATGTGAATGCGTAGCGTCACTTCCTGTTAACGAACTATTTGAAGATGATAAGGATGGTGCAGAAGATTTCTGATGGTGATTTTTTCTTAGGCTTTTGTTTTATATTTCTTTTAGACTTAAGCTGAACTTCTGTTTTAAGAGAAGAAATAGATTCCTCAGAAGATGGTGGTCTTCTGTGCTGTCTCTGCGACTTAACAGGAACTTTCTTTCTCGTCTTTCGTTCTGGAATAAGTGTGATTTCTTTGACGGAGATTTTAGCAGATGTATTAAGAGGTAAAACCTCAGTTTGCGTGCTAGAATCACTTTTGGCAATGGAAATTGAGTTCGATCGATTTTTAGCTGTGTGAGAAGAAGAACACTCGAAGATTTTTGTAGAAGCAAAACACAAAACTTCTTTAACTGCATCGGTAGTCTCCGTTTTTTCTCGAGGTAGATCTCTCAGATCCAATAGATCGCGTACTACAACTAATCTTTCTGTCGCTAGTGGTGGATCGAAGCGAGAACTACCACCATCAAGCGAAAACAAGGAACAGAAATTAGTACCATTACATGAGTGTAAAGAAAGAAGTTTTGTGATTTGCTTCTACAAAAATCTTCGAGTCAAC